CATCTTTCTGTGCGGGAGAAAGACCACGAACACTCCATGATCCTTCAGCTTCAACCCGTGCCCTACCCTGAAAACATGAGGATGGTTCTGTTTAGGGAAAGGGCAAACAAGTCCAAACACCTCCAAGGCGTGCGGGACATGGCTTAAACTGGCAAAACTGGTCAAACCTCACGGCGTTCAAGGAAGAAACCGGAATACACTTCCGAGGCTCTAACGACCTACTTCCTACACCACTTCGCAAGCTTTCTTTTTGGGAGAGTCGCCTCTTATCTACGTCAGTAGCACAGTAGGCATGTCTGATCGACCTGTGTGTCGTCTGTCAAGGTGAGACGTCCCAGAAAGACAACAAGGAGACAAACACAAGCACAAGCGAAGCAACACCACTTCGCAAGCCATTGCTCTGGGAAAAGCTTGAAAGACGCTGGCAACCCAAGACCCACATGGAACCTTTTGGTTTCTGACTGCTTCTGTCATCATAATTCGAAAAGTAGAGAAGTGAAGAATGAGAGTAGAGAATTTTTCGAAATTCCACCCCTCGTTTCTTGTTTTTGTTTCTTGATGGCATGAAAGTGCAAGAAGATTCCTTCAAAGCCCTTGAGTCGAGCTACGCAATCATGTTTAGGGAAGCCACCCTGAACCCTGAACCCTGAGCCCTAAACCCTAAACCCTAAACCCTAAACCCTAAACCCTAAACCCTAAACCCTAAACCCTAAACCCTAAACCCTAAACCCTAAACCCTAAACCCTAAACCCTAAACCCTAAACCCTAAACCCTTTTCAAAAGGGAGCGTGGCAGAGACCCTCCTTCAGGGTCTCCGTTTGCAAGGCGGCGAAGGCGAAGGCGGCGAAGGAGCGGATCGAGAACGCCACAAAGACATCCACCGACGCTCTTGGAGCGCAGAAGGTGCAAGTGATTTATATTGAGCTATACTAGTTCTACTAGCTATGTTAGTACTGTTAACAGCAGTTTTTGGTGATTTTTGATATTGCTTCTGTTTGTATGTTGATTGAACTTGGAATGAGTACTACGATTCTTCATTGTAACATGCTTCTCTTTTCGAGTAACGTTAATTCTGCTTCTGGTTGTTTTTTTGATTAAACATTTAATTTAAAATTCATTGTAATATGCTTCTCTTTTTGAGTAAAATTAAGAAGGTGCAGAAGGAAGCACTGCGGGCCATGGCCGAGAGTCCCGAGAAAGCAGAAGCGTTCGAGGCCAGGGGGAGCATGTCGAAGCTGCTGCTGCAACATGTTGCGGTTTTAGGGTTTAGGGTTTAGGGTTTAAGGTTTAGGGTTTAGGGTTTAGGGTTTAGGGTTTGCGGGCTTAGGGGTTTAGGGTTTAGGGTTTAGGGCTTGTTCATCGCAGAGGCTGTTCTGAACGCCTCCCTCTCACCGGAGCTCACGACTCTCTCCGAGATGCTGGACGTGCTGAAAGCGCTGCCTCAAAACCCTGCCATCGACATGCTCATTGCGAATGCGTGGAGCCAAGTACTGCCCCTTCCAATTCGAACTCTCTGCATCGCCTGAAGAGTGCCGTGCCCCCTGTGTTCAGATTACGGCGCAGCTGGCCAGCTGGGACAGAACGAACATGACGGCGGGGGCCCCAAGAGAGCAAGAGATGGAGAAAGAGAGACGGAGACGGAGACGGAGAGGCAGAGAGAGGGAGAGGGAAGAGGGGGAGAGAGAGAGAGAGAGAGCGAGCGAGCGAGAGTGAGAGAGAGAGAGAGAGTGAGAAAAAGAGAGTAGAGGACCATTGCTTTCTTGCCTTGCGCCTGCAGAGAGCCGCAAATCAATGGGGGGCGGGTTCGCGGCTCGCTCACCCCTGGGGCTCATCGAAGGGCAGGGACTGCTGGGGCCGGAAAACCCACGGAAGGAGTCCAAGGAGTACAAGGAGTCCTATATAGTCCTATGGGCATCCCTGAATCCCTGTGCCGCATTGCGTGATGGCACCTCGCTGCTCCGGGTCCTTTAGGTGGCGGCTCTAGCGGCTCTAAGGCTTTAAGCTGTTCATTTAAAGCTGGAGCTGCGACCCCCCCCCCCCTGTGCTTGTTGCCACGAAAGCCACTAGAGTCTTTGCTGCGGATGCCTTTGGGGACGTCCTCAACGGCTTGCAAAGATTGCGAACAAGACGCGCGGCTCGTGAAAAGCCCCGGCTTTCCCAGGCGGAGCAGATCAAATCTTCATCGCCGCAGCAGCTCGATGCTTACCTGGTGGAGCGGGCGAAGCAGCTCATCGATGAGGCCACCAAGGCCCAGGGCGCCATGAGCTCGGGGGGCAAAGAGTGTTGAGTCTTTTGGGATGCTTGCTGCCCCACAGATTTTGCCCTTTTTTGTGGAGGGATCCGGCCAGTCTTCCAGCGAGAAGCTGGAATTGATGAGGCGCCGCCCAGCCACCCAGCGAGCTCTCTCGAGTGTTCAGGCGACTGCCCATGAGCCCCTATGAGCCCTTGGCGGCAGGAACCTCTCCGCTGCGGCCGCCGCAGCGCCCATGACGGCCCGTGCCTTAAAAAGTGTAAGCATGAGTCATCAGAAAATAGGAAAAATTGGGGTTCGTATTGCTAACATGAAGCTTAAAAATTGAGCATTCCTCTGCCTCTTCTGACCTGAGGAGGCATCCAAGGACTTTACCGCCCGCCACCCGGGAGAGAGCGAAGAGAGACCGAAGGGAGCCAAGAAGGGAGCGGAGTGAATAGCCCTAAACCCTAGACCCTAAACCCTAAACCTAAACCCTAAACCCTAAACCCTAAACCCTATAGGCCCGAAATCGCTGCTATGTGTTTTTTTTGTGCTCAGGTGCCCTTCTTCCAGGAGCCCTGGGGAGAGACAGGAAGAGCAGACGGGAGCAGACATGAGCAGAAGAGCTGTCCAGGGAAAGAAGGAAGAGCGCAAAGATTGGAGCGACAGGAAGGATGAAAATCATGAAATAGCCTACATCCCTAAACCCTAAACCCTAAATCCTAAACACTTAACCCTTAACCCTAAACCCTAAACCCTAATAAGTTCCAGGACGGAAAGAAAGTCTTGGCTGAAGTGGGAGGTTCGGCTTTTGAAACGCGCCGGAGGGTCTCCCGCAGGTTCGCCCTGGACTCTGAGCCTCTGACCAGGCGATCTGGCGCTGGATGTGGAAGATGCCGACCGCTTCGTGTCGAACGCATTGGTGAAGACAGCCATGAAGAAGGCGGCACATGACGCGAGGATTGCATGAAAGAATAGGCGTCTCTGATGGCCATAGCAAGATGGCTTACACTAGCAGTCCTTAATAGGGACTCTAGTAACCCCCCATCAAAAATCCCTTCATGTAGTCACAAGAATCACATACAAGCAGAGGGCAGACCAACGCCATCCACAGCAGGCTCTGGCGGCGCTGGCGAAATGCGCCCCATCTTTGGTCAAGGCCCGGGAGGAGGGAGTCGGGACCCGGAAGGGCCCAAAGGAGAAGGGCTTATGGGGCCCAGAGTTCGGGATTTAGTCGGGTTTAGTAGGGTTTAGTAGGGTTTAGTAGGGCTTAGTAGGGTTTAGAAGGGTTTAGAATAGGGTTTAAATAGGGTTTAGGGTTTGGGGTTTAGGGTTTGGGGTTCAGGGTTCAGGGTTCAGGGTTTAGGGTTTCGGGGAGGAGGGGGAAAGCGGGAGGATGGTGCTGCGTGTGAGGTGGACCTGACGATCCCCAAGGCGATCCTCTTGGCCGTCTGGCGGAGGAAGGCTTCCGGGAACGTGAACGTGGCCTACCTCATCGAGGCTCCCGGGTTTAGGGTTTAGGGTTTAGGGTTTAGGGTTTAGGGGCCCGAACGTAGATGCTCACGTGCACGTGGCACATCATGGAGGGAAGATCGGTTCCCTTCATACATCCCAACTTGAAGGGTTCCATCAAAGGGGAACATTCAGGTGCCTACTTCCCGTGGCGCATGGCGAGTGTGCGGTGTGTAGAGAATGTGTGGAGGTGGTGCAGGGCTCGGCAACAGCATCCAGCCCCGCTCCCATCTGCTCAGCTCCTGCTCCCTTCATTTGGGGGTTTACGAGAATGGGGAAAACCCCCACTTTAGACCCCCAAGTAGTCGAGTCCCCTTAAGACGAGGGCCCCAACAAGGTACCCCTAACGTCGTAAACCTCGGGCCACCACCGAGGCGTTGCAGAGACCATTTCCAAGCAAGACATCAACACCGTCACTGGCCAGGCCAACTTGTTAGGGCTTGCTAGGGTTTAGGGTTTCGGGATTAGGGTTTGGGGTTTAGGGTTTAGGATGTTTGCTTTTTGCTTGTTGCTCTGCTCTTTTGACGCACACCCCCGTCGCTGCTTTCCATGCCAGATCCGTGACCAGCTGGAACTCGTCGGCCACCATCTCAGCAAAAGACCCTAAACCCTAAACCCTAAACCCTAAACCCTAAACCCTAAACCCTAAACCCTAAACCCTAAACCCTAAACCCCAAACCCCAAAGCCCCAAACCCTAAACCCCAAACCCTAAACCCTTAACCCTAAACCCTAAACCCTAAACCCCTAGAAAGCGACAGCTTCTTCGCCCGGTGGAGCGCGGCGCACGCGAGCGCTTGTTGAGGCGCCGAGTTCACCCTGCGGGCCACGAGCTTGAGCGTCACCATCCTGCCGGGCACCGCAGAGGGTTTAGGGCTTAGGGTTTAGGGTTTAGGGTTTGGGGTTTAGGGTTTAGGGATTAGGGTTTAGGGTTTAGGGTTCCGCAGACGAATTCCGGAGTGTTAGGGTGCTTGGGGGTCTTGGGGGGGCTCTAGGAGTCTTTTTGGTTTGGTTTTTTTGGGGGGTTGGGTTTCAGAGAATTACGCTTCCCCCTTCGGAAGAAAGTACAAACGTCGTAGAATCTCTCGCAAAGGAACCCTTCGCAAAGGACCACCCCAATCAAGGCGACCCATGAACTTTGGAACGGGATCTCGAGGCCCGTCGGCGACATCGAGGGTGCGGAGCTCAGCACTTGTCACCTTTCACTTAGACTTGCCCCGCCTGCTGCTCTATCTTCGGGCAGGCACCCAGGCCGCCATGGAGAAGGTCGCAGGGGAGTCCTTGTCCCCGAGCTACCTGCTGCTTCTAGCGCAACTTGTGTCCAGCGCTGTGCTTCGTAGGTGGCGACCGCAGTTGAAGTGCAGCGCCACAATGCCTCGGTCCAGGTGGGCACGTGCGGGGGGGGGGGGGGGGGAGGGGGGCAAGAGCCGCATGTGGCCAGTCTCATCGTTCTGGTCTTTGGTGGGGATTCCTAATATTCATACATCCATTCGGAGCCCCATATCTAGGGATCACCCCTTCTTCCACCTCAAAAAAAGGACACTTATACCAGTTTTGAGAACTCTGCACAATACTAGCCCCCCCCCCCCCCCCCCCCCCCCCCCGATCCGTAGCCCACGACTCAGCCGAGGACGCTGCAGTGGAGCCCGTGGCCGATGGCAAGGTTCCAGCAGCTCCAGGCCAGCCCTTCGGGGGCCTTCGGCCTCCCTCTTTTGTGCCCTTCCATCTTCCCCAAAAACCACCCCTTGTAAGCCCTACAGTCTCAGCCCCACAAACCCTACCAAACCGAAACCCCTGCGGGCCCCACCGCGCTGCAAAGAGAGCCCTCAGATGATTCAGTCCCACCTTCGCACAGATGCTCCGGTGGTCGTGGAGACGGCGCAGCAGGCGGCACAAGCGACAGCGCATCCCTCTCAGATGCTCCCGGCTTTATCACAGCTGCATTCGAGTCAGTCCTCTTTCCCGGGTCTTAAACTTGGGGTTTTAGGGCTTAAAGGGGAGCCTTACATGTTAGGATCGAGGGTGCCCAACAGGGAGCATCATCTTAGAGAGTGCAGGGATGTGCGGGGTTTAGGGTTTAGGGTTTAGGGTTTAGGGTTTAGGGTTTAGGGTTTACCCAATTTTGAGCTCCTGCGGTTCTCCTGAGGAGCATGGCCGCCGCCGAGGCTGAGGTCCTCCTTGTGATTTCTGCTCATGGCTGCACTAATGAGCTCCTCACTGGGTTTAGGGCTTATAGGGTTTGGGGGACTTAGAGGGGTTATAAGGTTTATAGGGTTTAGGGTTTAGGGCTTAGGGTTTAGGGTTTATAGGGTTTAGGGATTAGGGTTTAGGGCTTTTGTTGTTCCACTCAATATGGCGCTTCAGAATTCAATGATGTTTTGGCTTCATGGTGTGCATGGCGCCTGTCCAGTCCAACGACAACGACGACGAGTCCGACCTGCCGAAAGGGAGGAGTTTCTTTGTTTGCGCAAGCTGCCGGTGACTGAGCGCTCATTCCGTACTGCAATATGCGAGGCTGTACTTTAAAAAAGCGTGTTAACTTCATATAAATACTGTTCGTCCACGTTGCTCGCGCCAAGGGCCCCTGCTCACCCTCATGTTGCTGGGTTGGCTGAGCTGAGACGCTGAGACGTTTGGATCTCTCACTCAGATGATCTCAGATGTTTCACTTTTAGCTTCGACTGGGTGACGCGGCCCGTGCCACCTCCGCACAAGAACCCAGGGCGCCCGAGATGCGGTGGAAGGCTCAGAGGGAAGAAATTGCGCCACACATTTCGCCGGGGCAGGCCCCAAAGGAACGCCCAGCATTGCACACGGGATCCATCTGCATCGCCACGTTTTTGAGCTGGGACACTTCCGCCCAGTGGCGGGACCTTTCATCGGGAGTTTCGGTAGCTACTGAAGCGAGCTGAGCGTTGGCAAGTGGACCGGCGCCTTATGGCTGTGAGCTCCAGGATCAGCAAGCTTAAAGCATTTATAGGTACTTAGTGGTCTGACGGTATATATAGACGTCATAGTATGTATGTGTATGTGTTATATAAGCATACATCATGCACATTCTAGGCAGGCCAGCAGGCGACGTGTCATCAGCGCTGCGCACGGAGCTTTGAAGTTGAAAGTTGAAAGTGCAAAGAGTCCTAAAGTTCAAAGCAGATTGCCTTCCGTGGCAGCCAAAAAAACCCCAAACCTTAAACCCTAAACCCTATAAACCCTAAACCCTAAACCCTACTGCAGTCTGTACTGCTTGGATCCGATGGATGGGCCAGCAGCCTCCGACCAGGGCTCCGAACTCCCTTTCCTTGGCCGTCAGCCTGGGAGGATCCCAAAACTAGATCCCCTTAAGGGTTCCCCAAAATGACCCCATAGCAGTACAAGGGTACTTTTTGGGGGGCTCTATTTTTTGGATCCTCCCAAGGGGTCTGGGAAGGGGGCGGTTAGCAGGAGCTGCATGAGCGTGGCTCGGGCAAGAAAATAGCTTCTGAAACGCCTCTCCTCTGTCAGGTGAGAGCACTCAGAACCTTTGATGCAAAAGCCAGACTTTTCTGGCGCGGTTCTCAGAAGCAGCGGGGCTTGTGTTCAAAGAGACAATGTGTGGGCCGTGGGACATGTGGCCGGCCCACCTCACCAGCAGCTTGAGCGATCTTCTATTGCACTTGCTGCTGCAATTGTCTGGTTTCCGAGGGTACCCTGTTTTTGCTGGCCGAAGGGAGATCTGCTCAAGGGAGTTGTTATCGCTCCGCCTCAGAAGTTCGCCTCTGTAGCCATGTCCATGAGCGTCACGGCAGTGTTCTCCTTGCTCACGCTGACTGCGCCAGCAGCGGCCCAGAAGCTTACTTTCTCGCAAGGCTGCGGCGCCTGCGGAGCCACTTGGACACTCGAAGTGGTTTGTGGTGCCACGCTGAAAGTGGAGGCAGACTGCCCGGACACAAAGTGGTGCGGCCTTGGCTTCAATGCCGAGAAGCCCAAGATGGATGGGACGGATGTCTTCACCTTCGGCTACCATCCTGGCGTGGACCTCAGCGACTGCAACAGAAGTGGCTGCGGAGGCGCCTGTGGTGGCGCCTGCGGTGCTGCTTGTGGCAGCGCTTGTGGCAGCGCTTGCGGCGGCGCTTGCGGCGGCGCTTGCGGCGGCGCTTGCGGCGGCGCATGCGGCGCATGCGGCGCTTGCGGCGGCGGTCGGCGCTTGCGAGGACAGAGCAGCCCCTTCCTGCCTCGCGTCCGCAACCTGGAGCTGAGCTTGCCCATGCCGCAGAAGCCTGGTAGCCCCAAGAGCCTGTCTAGCAAGGAGGGCATTGCGGGGGTGGCTCTGAATTCCGTGCTCTTTGTGCATGAGCATCCTGGAGAGGGCATGACATGGGTCTTGGACAATTGTGGCGGCCATGGCGACACCTTTGGCCACTACCATTACCACGCTCCTCCTCTCTGTCTCCTGCGCTCGCTGGGTGTAGCTGTGCCTTCTGGCGACTGGTGGAAGCGTGGGGGAAGGTCAGCCTGGGCGCTTGAGGGTCCGGAGGTGCAGGTCGGATGGGCTTTGGACGGTGCACCGATCATGGGCCCGTACCGTGCTGGCGCATTGGCGGATGTATCAGCGCTAGATGAGTGCCACGGTGCTTTGGACGAGGCAACAGGCGAGTACAAGTATTACATGGTCTTGGAGGCTCCCTACATGCCGCCTTGCCTTCGTGGCACGCTTGGTAACATCACGGGCTACCGCAACCAGAAAGCCGGTGAGCCTTGCAACCGCCAGAGCCTGGAAGAGGCTCTTGTTGTGAGCTCTGCGGCCCAGGGTCGCGTCCTTCATGGGAATGGCTGCCCAGGCCACGCTGTCTTTGAAGATGTCAAGACTGGGCGCCCGGTAGGCTCTGAGAAGGTCTCCTTCAGGCAGCTCAGCACCAGCTGCGGCGCCTGTGGCGCTTGCGGTGCTTGTGGTGCCTGCGGATCGTGCGGCACTTTCTTGGGAACCTGCCCAGCTGGAGGAGCTTGTGGTGCCTGTGGCGCCGCCTGTGGTGCCTGCGGTGCCTGTGGCGCCGCCTGTGGCGCCGCCTGTGGCGCCGCCTGTGGTGCTTGCGGTGCTTGTGGTGCCTGCGGTGCCTGTGGTGCCGCCTGTGGTGCTTGTGGTGCCACCTGTGGTGCTTGTGGTGCTTGTGGTGCCTGTGGTGCCTGCGGTGCCAGCTGTGGCGCTTGTGGTGCCTGCGGTGCCAGCTGTGGTGCCTATCAGTGCCTGGGGCAGATGTTCTGCGCCCGAGGCCTCACGCAGATGCACCAGGGCGTGGCGCTGAGCCTGTCGCAGTGCAACTTGAATGGCTACAACATTGAAATCGACCAGAAGCAGGACCTCACGGAGGTCAGCTACGTCTTCGAGAATGGCCGCATGAAGGCCACCGCCAAGCGAGCCTTCAACACCGGCGATGCTACAGACCTGGTACTGGCTTCCGGGACCCCGTACTACGTGATCATGGCAATTGGTGGCAACAATCCTACCATGAACGTGGGTTACCATGGGGCCTCAGCTACTCAGAACTTGGTGTGTCTCAGCACCTTGTCCCAGAAGTACGACTGCAAGGCCCCGTCAGAGTGGGGCAACGCTGCGCCTACGTTGCCCAGTGCTGACGCAGACGCAGGCGCAGCCGCTCCAAAGCAGTTGGCGCCTGCCCTCGTGGCAGCTTCGTTGCTGGTGGCGAGCTTGTCATAAGCTGTCCGCCGCATGACTGTCTTTTTCTGGCAGATCTTTCTTGAGAATTTGCATTGCAAAGTGTGGGCGCCGTGGCAGTGGTTTGGCGGGGGCTTTGTCGGTTGGTACAAGCTCCTGCCTGCGCTCCCCGAAAGGAATTGTTAGTCGAAGTGTGTCAGGGTGATCAGTATCGTTTTTTGCAACTCTTGAGCCTGCCCGGCCCTCGCATGCAACAAAAACAACAGTTTTGACGGCCACCACGGCTGCCGGCTTCTGGGTTGTTTCAAGAAAGCCCGGGGCTACCTGAAGTAGTACCAGTTCATATCAAGAGTCGGATGGGGCCATGTGCCACCACCATGGTGCGAAGAGCACTTGTGCGTCAGCTTCATGTACAGTTTCCAAAAAGCTCGGAAGAGCTGCCATCCTTCGCCAACGGCTTTGCCGGATCGCGCAAGCCACATCGGCAGGATCAAAGGAGGAGATGAACGAGGCATCAGAGCCATGAGAGTGTTAGGATACTGCATTATGATTGCCAGTATTTTCATTCTGTATCTGTTCCCTGTGGGTTTCATGACGCTTCTGGGATCCCACAAGGGGGACCTCATTGCGGATAGGTTGCTTGTGTTTCGAAGGCCGGGCCAGTTTCCGTATCATCTTTGTGTGATTTCCGAAAACCCAAAACCCTAAGCCCTAAACCCCACAGGCGTAGCTGCTTAACAGCTTCTGTCTTTCAGGAGCTCTGGGCAGCCAGTTGCTGATGCAGGCGGTGAGCTTTGCTGGCGCGGTTCTCAGAAGCAGCGGGGCTTGTGTTCAAAGGGACAATGTGTGGGCCGTGGGACATGTGGCCGGCCCACCTCACCAGCAGCTTGAGCGATCTTCTTTTGTACTTGCTGCTGCAATTGTCTGGTTTCCGAGGGTACCCTGTTTTTGCTGGCCGAAGGGAGATCTGCTCAAGGGAGTTGTTATCGCTCCGCCTCAGAAGTTCGCCTCTGTAGCCATGTCCATGAGCGTCACGGCAGTGTTCTCCTTGCTCACGCTGACTGCGCCAGCAGCGGCCCAGAAGCTTACTTTCTCGCAAGGCTGCGGCGCCTGCGGAGCCACCTGGACACTCGAAGTGGTTTGCGGTGCCACGCTGAAGGTGGAGGCAGACTGCCCGGACACAAAGTGGTGTGGCCTTGGCTTCAATGCCGAGAAGCCCAAGATGGATGGGACGGATGTCTTCACCTTCGGCTACCATCCTGGCGTGGACCTCAGCGACTGCAAAAGAAGTGGCAGCGGAGGCGCCTGTGGTGGCGCCTGCGGTGCTGCTTGTGGCAGCGCTTGTGGCAGCGCTTGTGGCAGCGCTTGCGGCGGCGCTTGCGGCGGCGCATGCGGCGCATGCGGCGCTTGCGGTGGCGGTCGGCGCTTGCGAGGACAGAGCAGCCCCTTCCTGCCTCGCGTCCGCAACCTGGAGCTGAGCTTGCCCATGCCGCAGAAGCCTGGTAGCCCCAAGAGCCTGTCTAGCAAGGAGGGCATTGCGGGGGTGGCTCTGAACTCCGTGCTCTTTGTGCATGAGCATCCTGGAGAGGGCATGACATGGGTCTTGGACAATTGCGGCGGCCATGGCGACACCTTTGGCCACTACCATTACCACGCTCCTCCTCTCTGTCTCCTGCGCTCGCTGGGTGTAGCTGTTCCTTCTGGCGACTGGTGGAAGCGTGGGGGAAGGTCAGCCTGGGCGCTTGAGGGTGCAGAGGTGCAGGTCGGATGGGCTTTGGACGGTGCGCCGATCATGGGCCCGTACCGTGCTGGCGCATTGGCGGATGTATCAGCGCTAGATGAGTGCCACGGTGCTTTGGACGAGGCAACAGGCGAGTACAAGTATTACCTGGTCTTGGAGGCTCCCTACATGCCGCCTTGCCTTCGTGGCACGCTTGGTAACATCACGGGCTACCGCAACCAGAAAGCCGGTGAGCCTTGCAACCGCCAGAGCCTGGAAGAGGCTCTTGTTGTGAGCTCTGCGGCCCAGGGTCGCGTCCTTCATGGGAATGGCTGCCCAGGCCACGCTGTCTTTGAAGATGTCAAGACTGGGCGCCCGGTAGGCTCTGAGAAGGTCTCCTTCAGGCAGCTCAGCACCAGCTGCGGCGCCTGTGGCGCTTGCGGTGCTTGTGGTGCCTGCGGATCGTGCGGCACTTTCTTGGGAACCTGCCCAGCTGGAGGAGCTTGTGGTGCCTGTGGCGCCGCCTGTGGTGCCTGCGGTGCCTGTGGCGCCGCCTGTGGCGCCGCCTGTGGCGCCGCCTGTGGTGCTTGCGGTGCTTGTGGTGCCTGCGGTGCCTGTGGTGCCGCCTGTGGTGCTTGTGGTGCCACCTGTGGTGCTTGTGGTGCTTGTGGTGCCTGTGGTGCCTGCGGTGCCAGCTGTGGCGCTTGTGGTGCCTGCGGTGCCAGCTGTGGTGCCTATCAGTGCCTGGGGCAGATGTTCTGCGCCCGAGGCCTCACGCAGATGCACCAGGGCGTGGCGCTGAGCCTGTCGCAGTGCAACTTGAATGGCTACAACATCGAAATCGACCAGAAGCAGGACCTCACGGAGGTCAGCTACGTCTTCGAGAATGGCCGCATGAAGGCCACCGCCAAGCGTGCCTTCAACACCGGCGATGCTACAGACCTGGTACTGGCTTCCGGGACCCCATACTACGTGATCATGGCAATTGGTGGCAACAATCCTACCATGAACGTGGGTTACCATGGGGCCTCCGCTACTCAGAACCTGGTGTGTCTCAGCACCTTGTCCCAGAAGTACGACTGCAAGGCCCCGTCAGAGTGGGGCAACGCTGCGCCTACGTTGCCCAGTGCTGACGCAGACGCAGGCGCAGCCGCTCCAAAGCAGTTGGCGCCTGCCCTCGTGGCAGCTTCGTTGCTGGTGGCGAGCTTGTCATAAGCTGTCCGCCGCATGACTGTCTTTTTCTGATTGTTTCTTCGCAGATCTTTCTTGAGAATTTGCATTGCAAAGTGTGGGCGCCGTGGCAGTGGTTTGGCGGGGGCTTTGTCGGTTGGTACAAGCTCCTGCCTGCGCTCCCCGAAAGGAATTGTTAGTCGAAGTGTGTCAGGGTGATCAGTATCGTTTTTTGCAACTCTTGAGCCTGCCCGGCCCTCGCATGCAACAAAAACAACAGTTTTGACGGCCACCACGGCTGCCGGCTTCTGGGTTGTTTCAAGAAAGCCCGGGGCTACCTGAAGTAGTACCAGTTCATATCAAGAGTCGGATGGGGCCATGTGCCACCACCATGGTGCGAAGAGCACTTGTGCGTCAGCTTCATGTACAGTTTCCAAAAAGCTCGGAAGAGCTGCCATCCTTCGCCAACGGCTTTGCCGGATCGCGCAAGCCACATCGGCAGGATCAAAGGAGGAGATGAACGAGGCATCAGAGCCATGAGAGTGTTGGATACTGCATTATGATTGCCAGTATTTTCATTCTGTATCTGTTCCCTGTGGGTTTCATGACGCTTCTGGGATCCCACAAGGGGGACCTCATTGCGGATAGGTTGCTTGTGTTTCGAAGGCCGGGCCAGTTTCCGTATCATCTTTGTGTGATTTCCGAAAACCCAAAACCCTAAACCCCACAGGCGTAGCTGCTTAACAGCTTCTGTCTTTCAGGTGAGAGCTCTGGGCAGCCAGTTGCTGATGCAGGCGGTGAGCTTTGCTGGCGCGGTTCTCAGAAGCAGCGGGATGTTTTTTCAAAGTGACAATGTGTGGGCCGTGGGACATGTGGCCGGCCCACCTCACCAGCAGCTTGAGCGATCTTCCATTGTACTTGCTGCTGCAATTGTCTGGTTTCCGAGGGTACCCTGTTTTTGCTGGCCGAAGGGAGATCTGCTCAAGGGAGTTGTTATCGCTCCGCCTCAGAAGTTCGCGTCTGTAGCCATGTCCATGAGCGTCACGGCACTGTTCTCCTTGCTCACGCTGATCACGCTGACTGCGCCAGCAGCGGCCCAGAAGCTTACTTTCTCGCAAGGCTGCGGCGCCTGCGGAGCCACTTGGACACTCGAAGTGGTTTGCGGTGCCACGCTGAAAGTGGAGGCAGACTGCCCGGACACAAAGTGGTGTGGCCTTGGCTTCAATGCCGAGAAGCCCAAGATGGATGGAACGGATGTCTTCACCTTCGGCTACCATCCTGGCGTGGACCTCAGCGACTGCAAAAGAAGTGGCTGCGGAGGTGCCTGTGGTGGCGCCTGCGGTGCTGCTTGCGGCAGCGCTTGCGGCGGCGCATGCGGCGCATGCGGCGCTTGCGGCGGCGGTCGTCGCTTGCGAGGACAGAGCAGCCCCTTCCTGCCTCGCGTCCGCAACCTGGAGCTGAGCTTGCCCATGCCGCAGAAGCCTGGTAGCCCCAAGAGCCTGTCTAGCAAGGAGGGCATTGCGGGGGTGGCTCTGAACTCCGTGCTCTTTGTGCATGAGCATCCTGGAGAGGGCATGACATGGGTCTTGGACAATTGCGGCGGCCATGGCGACACCTTTGGCCACTACCATTACCACGCTCCTCCTCTCTGTCTCCTGCGCTCGCTGGGTGTAGCTGTGCCTTCTGGCGACTGGTGGAAGCGTGGGGGAAGGTCAGCCTGGGCGCTTGAGGGTCCAGAGGTGCAGGTCGGATGGGCTTTGGACGGTGCGCCGATCATGGGCCCGTACCGTGCTGGCGCATTGGCGGATGTATCAGCGCTAGATGAGTGCCACGGTGCTTTGGACGAGGCAACAGGCGAGTACAAGTATTACCTGGTCTTGGAGGCTCCCTACATGCCGCCTTGCCTTCGTGGCACGCTTGGTAACATCACGGGCTACCGCAACCAGAAAGCCGGTGAGCCTTGCAACCGCCAGAGCCTGGAAGAGGCTCTTGTTGTGAGCTCTGCGGCCCAGGGTCGCGTCCTTCATGGGAATGGCTGCCCAGGCCACGCTGTCTTTGAAGATGTCAAGACTGGGCGCCCGGTAGGCTCTGAGAAGGTCTCCTTCAGGCAGCTCAGCACCAGCTGCGGCGCCTGTGGCGCTTGCGGTGCTTGTGGTGCCTGCGGATCGTGCGGCACTTTCTTGGGAACCTGCCCAGCTGGAGGAGCTTGTGGTGCCTGTGGCGCCGCCTGTGGTGCCTGCGGTGCCTGTGGCGCCGCCTGTGGCGCCGCCTGTGGCGCCGCCTGTGGTGCTTGCGGTGCTTGTGGTGCCTGCGGTGCCTGCGGTGCCTGTGGTGCCTGCGGTGCTTGTGGCGCTTGTGGTGCTTGCGGGACATGTGGTGCCTACCAGTGCCTGGGGCAGATGTTCTGCGCCCGAGGCCTCACGCAGATGCACCAGGGCGTGGCGCTGAGCCTGTCGCAGTGCAACTTGAATGGCTACAACATCGAAATCGACCAGAAGCAGGACCTCACGGAGGTCAGCTACGTCTTCGAGAATGGCCGCATGAAGGCCACCGCCAAGCGTGCCTTCAACACCGGCGATGCTACAGACCTGGTACTGGCTTCCGGGACCCCATACTACGTGATCATGGCAATTGGTGGCAACAATCCTACCATGAACGTGGGTTACCATGGGGCCTCAGCTACTCAGAACCTGGTGTGTCTCAGCACCTTGTCCCAGAAGTACGACTGCAAGGCCCCGTCAGAGTGGGGCAACGCTGCGCCTACGTTGCCCAGTGCTGACGCAGACGCAGGCGCAGCCGCTCCAAAGCAGTTGGCGCCTGCCCTCGTGGCAGCTTCGTTGCTGGTGGCGAGCTTGTCATAAGCTGTCCGCCGCATGACTGTCTTTTTCTGATTGTTTCTTCGCAGATCTTTCTTGAGAATTTGCATTGCAAAGTGTGGGCGCCGTGGCAGTGGTTTGGCGGGGGCTTTGTCGGTTGGTACAAGCTCCTGCCTGCGCTCCCCGAAAGGAATTGTTAGTCGAAGTGTGTCAGGGTGATCAGTATCGTTTTTTGCAACTCTTGAGCCTGCCCGGCCCTCGCATGCAACAAAAACAACAGTTTTGACGGCCACCACGGCTGCCGGCTTCTGGGTTGTTTCAAGAAAGCCCGGGGCTACCTGAAGTAGTACCAGTTCATATCAAGAGTCGGATGGGGCCATGTGCCACCACCATGGTGCGAAGAGCACTTGTGCGTCAGCTTCATGTACAGTTTCCAAAAAGCTCGGAAGAGCTGCCATCCTTCGCCAACGGCTTTGCCGGATCGCGCAAGCCACATCGGCAGGATCAAAGGAGGAGATGAACGAGTCATCAGAGTCATGTAATGACCGCTGACTATCGTAGGATGATGCACTATAGTCACTAGATCGCTGGTCCAGCCTGAGATCGCAGAACCTTGTCACGGTCGAGTCTAGTGGTGTCATGGGCTCGGTTCCTATAGCGGGTACAATGCTCCGTATTTGTAAACGCTTGGGCGGTTGGGCGGGTGTAGCACAGCGCCTCGCAGACGAAGGAAAGCCAAAGGGCCTATGGCACATGGTGCAGCACCAAGAGCGCATCACATGAGTCATGAGTGGAGGGCAGTTGAAGCAGGAGTTTGAGGGTGGTGTTTTTTGGGCGTGTTTTCTGGGAAGGGGCCCCCGCAAGTTTCGGTTGAAGGCGACCATATCCCGGTCTGCTTGTTCCAGACGTCTCTCGACCAGAAGCCGATGCGAAAAGTAGTATTCATAGCAATCGCAATAACACAACAACGCAATCGAATGGTATCATGGTGTCCTGGTAGAAAGGTGTAGGACTCATGACTCATATCTCAAATGGGAAGATGTCCTTTTCTTTTAAGGGGGTTCAGGGTTGACGATTTGGGGTGTAGGGTTTAGGATGGTTTAGGGTTTAGAGTTGAGGGTGATTGTGGATGCGCCCAGGATGCAAATTGGGCAAGATGTCTTGATTGTATTGTATTACCCCTATGTTTGTCTTGGGCCTCTCCGGTCGGCTTGTTCATGCTCGACCGTGGTGCAAGATGGGCTTCTCATTTTCATCTTGCGCTTCTTCGGCCTTGCTCTAAACGAGCTATTTCTTTCTGAGGATGCATTGAAATGTCACAGTTATGTCAAAGAAGGAAGAGTGAATATTGAGTTTCATGTATCATTTTCCGAGTGTATTGGACTGGACTGCACGTCAGATATTTACCACAACAGAAAAAGGCAAGACAAGGTGAGAAGTTTCAGTATTCGTGGGCTGCAGAGGAAGCCTCAGAAGCCTCATGATTTGCCCATGTTTGTGGACCCTCTGGGAGCCTTTTTGTTTTGAAGTTCTCGCGCAGTTTCCTTGGACTCCTGACCCATGAAGGTGAGATTGGCAACTACGTGCAATGCCAGGTGGATGCCTTCATGGTGGTGACCTTACCTGCTGCAAGTCCGAGTTACCTGACATGTATAGTGAATTATCGTGGTATATATATATATATGCTCACCCCCCCCCCCCCCCCCCCCCCCCCCTCGACAGACCCCGGAAGCGATAAAAAGGCTGAGGGTGCGACGGACAGCATAGCTGCACACAGTGGGGTGCATAGGATTCATTTTGTTTTAATAGGAATCTTATTAAATGAAGAGGAAACCCTTTAAAATGAATGAGAACCCTTAATACTAATAAATTCAACGGAAACCCTATTCAAATGACAGAACCCTATTTAAAGTTGATAGGAATCAAATGACATTTGTAGGAGCCTTATTATCAAAAGGCAAACTATGAAAATTTATTGGAATCTTACGAACACAAATAGGAATCCTCTACTTAAATCCGTAGGAACCCTATTAAAATTAATCGGAACTGTATAAAAAATAGCAGGAAGCTATTAACATGAATGGGAACCCTATTAAAGTTAATGAGAACCCTATTATCATTGGTAGGAATCCTAATAAACTGAAGAGGACCCCTACGAAAATTAATAGGAACCAATGGGACTCCTATAAAAAAAGTGAATGAATGAGATCCCTATTAAAATTAATATGAGTAAGAGCTCTGAAATTGATATGAATCTTATTGCATTAGTAGGAGCTTTATCAGAATAATTAAGAACCATATAAAAGTTTATTGGAATCCTATGAAAATAAGTAGGAACCTTTCGGAATCCTACCGAAATTTATCGGATAAGCTAATCGGCAGCCTATTAAAATGAATGGGAACCCTTAACAAATCAAAAGAACGCGGTGAAGATTAATAGGAACTAATAGGATTTCTATGAAAAATCAGATTCGCAAAAACAAGAACTAATCGGAACCCTACTAAATAAATATGAGCCTAAACCAATAGGAATTCCTTTCAAACGAATTCCTTTCAAACGAATGAGACTTCTATTAAAATTAATACGAATGCCATTAACATGAATAAGAACCCTAAAACTGATAGGAATCTTATTGCATTAGTAGGAGCCTTATTAGAATAATTAGGAACCCTGTGAAACTTTATTGGAATCCTATGAAAATAAAGAGGAATCAATCCTCTATTGATGCATAGGAATGCTTATTGAAATGAATAGGAACCCTTAACGAATTGAAAAGAACCGGTTATAATTCATAGGAGTCCTGTTAACATGAGAAGGAATCTGAGTAAAATCCCTAAACCCTAAACCCTAAACCCTAAACCGTGTAGAACCCCTGAAAAAATCTTACCAAAACTCCAGTTTTCAAAATTCCAAAAATCCAAAAAACCCAACCCAAGTTTCGGATTTTTGGAAACTCGAGCGGGAGCCTCAAAATCCAAAAATCGAGCTCCCGCTCGTTTGGAAACTCGAGCGGGAGACCCACAATCCAAAATTCCTCGAGTTTCCAAACTTCCAAAAACCCAAAAATCCCAACCCAAGTTTCGGATTTTTGGAAACTCGAGCGGGAGCCTCAAAATCCAAAATTCGAGCTCCCGCTCGAGTGTCCAAAAATCCAAACCTTGGGGTGGGTTTTTTTGGATTTTTGGAATTTCGGAAACTCGAGCGGGAGGGCGATTCTTGCATTTTGAGGCTCCCGCTCGAGTTTCCAAAAATCCAAACCTTCGGGTGGATTTTTTGGGTTTTTGGAATTTCTGGAAACTCGAGCGGGAGCGCGATTTTTGGATTTTGAGGCTCCCGCTCGAGTTTCCAAAAATCCGAAACTTGGGTTGGAGTTTTTGGATTTTTGGAATTTTGGAAACTCGAGAGGGAGCTCGAATTTTGGATTTGGAGGCTCCCGCTCGAGTTTCCAAAAATCCGAAACATGGGTTGGGGTTTTTGGATTTTTGGAATTTTGGAAACTCGAGCGGGAGCTCGATTTTTGGATTTTGAGGCCCCCGCTCGAGTTTCCAAAAATCCGAAACTTGGGTTGGGGTTTTTGGAGTTTTGGATTTTTGGAAACTCGAGGAATTTTGGAGTGGTGCTCTCGAGGGGGGGGGTGACCATATACATATATATATATATATATATATAACAGCGCCGCTTCACAAGCAGGCAGGCAGGCACTTGCTGGCAAGAACGACCAAGCAGCATAGCTTTTCAGATCCACGATATATATATATATATATATATATATACCTTTATTTATATATATATATATCTCTCTACTTAGTGATTCTCGCATGAATGCCATGAATGCACCGTGTTTTGCATGGCCTTTTTGTGTGCAGGTGGCGACCAACATTGCAAACATGGGCCTGGCCATCAACTACGCGGCCAACTCGGGCCACTGCAATGGGCACCACCGTCTCAACGACAAACACAAAGCCTTGTGCGCCACGGACATTGCAGGCACAGTGGAGGGGGGTTGGATTTTCGTAGCAAGAGCATTTCGGGCCATTCATGTTGGTGGTATTTCCCCCCAGCCTCTGTGTGTGGGGTTGTTGGAGGCTGAACTCAACTCTTCTCCTCGCCCGGTCGACTCCTCACCCATCACCCATCTCCCGCATTGGCCACGTTGGCTATTGGGCACTCCAGGACTTTTTGGGACACTTTGGGGCTGGGCTCTCGAGGGACTCTGGGGTTGAGCAGCTCAGGACTCTCTTGAGCACTGCTGGGATACTGTGGGGTTGGGCACTCCAGTCTGGAGTCGGGCAATTTGGATATCTCATACCTTGGCATTGGGCACTATACTCTGGGGTTGGGCACAAGGGGATATTGAGATACTCGAGGATTCGGGACTGCAGGGACTTTTTGGCGAAGTTCTAGAAGCTCTTTGCACATACTCTGGGTTGGTTATTTGGGGGCACTCCTGGTGCAGGGACTCTCTGAAAATACTGCAAAATTGGGCGGGAATTTCTGTTGGGCACTCTCGAGGGCATCTTGTGGGGATACTATGGGGTGGGATACGGGTGATGGGCGAGGAGTAGACCGGGCGAGGAGAAGAGTGTAGATTAAGATCAAACAACCCTACACCAAGGGTGGGGAAGAATTTGATCGCTCGGTTTGTCGTCTCCCCCCGACTCCCGACCAGGCGCAGTGGCTTACTTCTCTCAAGCAATCACGTTCATTGAGTTCCTGGTCGTGAACTGCCCGAACCTGATGAACTCGAGCGCGCTCTGCGGTGCTGGCATCACTGGCATCACTACGGCCGCGGCAAGTGTTGCTGCCGCTGGCTCTGCCATTGATGGCGGCTGTAACCGTCCCCCAATTCCACCTCCCAATCGCCCGAGCACCACCGCCACCGCCACCGCCACCACCGCCACCGCCACCGCCACCGCCACAGAAACCGCCACCGCCACCGCCACCGCCACCGCCACCGCCACCGCCACCGCCACCACCACAACCGCCACCACAACCGCCAGCTCCACCACCGATGCCAACCAGACAACCATTCCCGATGTGACCATCACGTCCACCACATTCACCTCAACTGTCACAACCGCAACGGCAACAAACACCGCAGTCACCACAACCACCACTTTAGTCACCACAACCAGCACAGCAACCATCACCTCAGTCACCACAACCACAACGACAACGTTCCTGGGAGCATCCACCCTCTGTGCCAAGATTGGCAACAGACAAAGTGCCGCACCGAATCAACCTGTGATTAACCCGGGCACTGATCAAGATGGGAACACATGGCTTGGGATCGCGTGGGGCGAGCCTGGAGCCTGCGGGAACGACCCCCTCAGCTGCAGTCCGAGCGACCCAAATGTCGACAACCGATTCAACCTTTGCCCGAACATCTCGAACCCGACAACAATCCAGTTCCTGGTGAGAAATTCCAACACTGGAGGCGGCAGCATAAGGCTTGTGTCACCAGTGTTCTTCATCGGCGGGGATAACATTCTGTCTTCAAGCTACGCCGCTGCCAATCCCCTGAAGGAAATCAATCTAACGGCAGACGGATACACCGCCAGGTGGCAACAAAACCTCAAACCCAATGAAGGCGGAGATACGATTTGGGGCCCCAACTGTGAGGAGTTTGCAGAACCAACAAGCCCCAGCAATTTTGCACGCACAACCTTTTGCCTGGGAGATGGCGGCGACTACCAGTCCATTGTTGGCGGTCAGCCACAGAGTCAACCCAACAACCCTCCCGACACAGGCTTCTGCGTCTGCAGCCCCCTGAGTGACGCAAACACTTGTGCAACGGCCAACAACAACAATGGTTGTTTCTTCCCATTTATCGTGTTCATCCTCATGGGATGTGGACCCGGCGGCCTGGACCCTTGTGTGATCAACTGATGATGAAAGCTAGTTCTTGCTAATATTTGCTAATTATTCAGCCGCGGCGAGATCCGATGCGGTGATCACAGGCATGACGTCGGCACAAAGGTGCTCACGCCGTGCAAAGGAACGCGGTTGGTTGTGTTCATGGTTCGCTGCCAAGGCGACAGGGCCTGTAGCGTAGCCGTGAGGCCGCGATGGCCAAAAAAGAGCCCCTGAGAGCCTTTTTGTAGAACTTCAGCTGCAGGAGGTTGAGTCAGCTTGCTGATTCTGTGCGGATGCGTAGGGCGTAGGGCCTTATGCAATTTATGCTGAACCGCTCCAACAGCTCGAGCAGAGGTTGGCAAGGCTCCCGATATGTTTTTCAAGCCCATGGCAGTCATCGCAGTCATCGCATCCCCATGTCCCTCGAGCGTCACTGTGCCCGCGTGATGTCGACAACATTCGACCATAGCTGGAGCACCATGGAGCAGAACAGGGAGCCCCTCGTTGCCCGGGGCCCCAGTCCTTCTGAGCTCTCTTCCATCTTTCTGTCTTCCCTTTCCTTTCCTTTTAAGCCAAGGTCGCCTCACTGCAACAAGCAGGGACTCCTCATCTTGCGCAGAACGGGGACTCAGCATCGTTCTGTTCGTCGGCAAAGACCCTATACTGCCTGTACTCATGGCGTGGAGAGCGGCAGTGTAGTTCGGCCTCCTCTTGATCGCCTTGGCTGTTCGAGCTGCCGATGATCGGAAGAGTCAGGGACCGAGCCAGAGATGTGACAAGAGTACATGCAACAGAGAACTCAGATGATTGCAAGGAGCTTCTCTATGCAGAATGCAAGAGATGCGCAGAGCTTTGTCAGCCAAATGGTTCTTAGTAGGGAATGAGGGAGTTAGGGCCCCATACCCTTTAAGGGATTATTTGGGGGTACTCATTCCGTCATTCCCTACGAAGAACCAGCCAGGCAGGATAGTCAGCATGGCTTGGCATGCACTCCTTCCTTGACCTGCGACAGATTCGTCGAGAGAGGGTACAAATCAGTCGGAGGAGTATGACTACAAGGGTTTAAGGTTGAGGGTTTAGGGCTTAGGGCAGTGGTTCTATGGTTCTGCTCCGTTCCTGTCTGTCTGGCGCGCGAGCGCGTCCCTTTAAACCAAGTTCACTAGATGTACCCCTGCGGAAGGTCGAAGCGCCCGTGAGCAACCTGGACGACGTGGACGACAGCAACTCCGAGATGCCAGAAGGCCGGGCGCCTATAGGGGTCTCAAAAGGGGTGTAGGGGTTAGAGTTTAAAGCTTACGCTACGATGATGACGATGATGATGATGAAGAAGAAGATCGAAGATGATGATGATCTACCAGTGCACCGTGTACTGCTATAGTCCTTTGTACGGGTTCTATGAATCAGAAGACTCTCCAGGGTTCAATGGTCGGCTAAGGTTCTCTGTGGTTCTTTCCACAAGGAATTCTCAAAAGGCTGAGGATTCAAGGGTAGTAGATGTTCTGGGGAGTTTAGGGGCTCAGGAGTAGAGGGACTTACATGAGAGAGCGGGAGAGCGATGTCGTGTGGGGAGCAGGAGCCCAAACCGCTTGAACCCCTAAACCCCTAAGTCCTGTACCCTCAACCCTAAACCCCTTAAACCCCCAAATCCTAAACACCCTAAACACCCTAAGTCTAAAGGTTTTAAGGTTCAGGGTTTAGGGAGCACGGGGCTCTTGAGGTCTCGGCAGGTAGTCGTTAGGGTTAGGGTTTAGGGTACAGGGTATGCGGCTTAGGGTGCGTACCAGCAGCGTTTTCAACGAAACGTGTTCAACGAAACCTTTCCACGAAACGTCTTCAACGATTCATTTTCACAACGAGCCGTTCTCAACGAAACATGTTCAACGAACATTGAACCGAAGCGTTCCTCTTTTAGACTCTTTCTTTCATAATTTTTGAGAACCCCATGCCTGAATCGAAGCGTTTCTCTTTCAGACTCTAAACCCTAAACCCTAAACCCTAAACCCTAAACCCTAAACCCTAAACCCTAAACCCTAAACCCTAAACCCTAAACCCTGAACCCTGAACCCTGAACCCTGAACCCCAAACCCTAAACCCTAAACCCTAAACCCTAAACCCTTATATTATTGAACCCCCTGGCTGGGTGGGAAGCGAGACGTGACCAGACGCGAAGTATTTGAATCCCATGGCTGGGTGAGCAACGCATTAAGTAGGAGTACCCTAAGCCCTAAACCCTAAACCCTGTTAAATTCAAGCAAATTTGGATCCGATTTGAGAACGAAACGCTTTTTAACCGACAGTTTTGAGCGAAAGTTTCGTTCTTAGAGCCTACTTCCTAAGTTTGGCCTTGCCTCCGAATGGGGAGGGCCCTTGAATTGGTTGAGAATGTGGACTCCCAGGCGCGAGAGTGGATGAATCTACTGAACTTTGTGGTGCTGTACTGTAACTTTAGATCCTTAGCCTTTTTGGGTTTATTTGGTTTCTTAATAAGGCAGCTAAAAGTTTAATTGTTTTCTACCCTCCTAAGTGCAGCCAAGTTAAACTCTGCCTGTCAGCTGCTTAGACAAATAGCTTGGGAAATTCAAAATGACACCACATACAATTGTTGTTTATTTTGTCCCGAGGGTTTAGGGTAGTTTAGGGTTTCGGGTTTAAGGGTTCAGGGTTTGGAGTTCAGGGTGTAGGGTTTAGGGTTTAGGGTTTCAGGCAGTTTAGGGTTTAGCATGGTTTAGGGTTTAACAAAAGGTTTAGGCTGTTTGGGATCTAGGGTTTAGGGTTTCGGCGGTGTAGGGTTTAGAGTTTAGGGTTTAGGCGGTTTAGGGCTTAGGGTTTAGGCGGTTTAGACTATAGGCAGTTCAGGCGGTTTAGAGTTTAGGGTTTAGGGTCTAAAGGAGGGACTTCTAAGGGACCTTAGTAGTTCTTTCGGGTTTTCAGGGGCTACTTAGGTATACACGGACTATATAAGACAGATATGTATATATATATATACATAGATATATGTAGGGGGTATCTAGGGGAACAAGATTAAGGGCCCCTTCTAGGGGTTGTTGGCCCCAAGCACACGCCTGGAAGGAGAACGGGGGGCCCTGCAGCAGCGATCCTGGCAGACGAAAGCTTCCTGAAGAGCTGGAGGTGAGGGGCGTTTAGGGTTTAGGGTTTAGGGTTTAGGGTTTAGGGTTTAGGGGGGGCTGAGGGCTGTTTTGGCAAGAGCAATATCGGGGTCGGAATCATTACTAAGAATATTCCCGTATGGTCCCTTTGCAATATGTGGTTAAACCCCCAAAACCGTCTTCTATTCATGCTCCTAGATTAGTCCCGGGACCCTGAGTCGGATCTCGTGTACAGATGCCTCCTGCACGGAGCTTGGGCGCTGTAAGACGCTATGTAGCAGCAGCTTGAAGCTCGTGCGCATTAGCCTTTTGCGAGGAGCTTGCCGGGTTGTGAAGAACTTGTTGATCATTCGGGGCGCGGGTTTGGATGGTTGTAGGATTCACGGGATTGGAAAGGGAGTTTAGGAATCGTTGCCGTGAAAGTCTTCAGAAGCTTGCCCGTAGAGTTCATTCGGCATAGGAAACCCTAAACCCTAAACCCTAAACCCGGAACCCTAAACCCGAAACCCTAAACCATAAACCCTAAACCCTAAAAGGATTAGATGCAGCGCGTTCCGGGAAACCCCTGAGATGATCTCCATCGTCTCCACTCTGCTAGACCCAGGGTTGTCTGTGGCACCGTTCGATGGTACCAATAGAAGATAAAACCGGGGCAAGGAGAGCTCAGCGGGAGGGTTTAGGGTTTAGGGTTATAGGGTTTAGGGTTTAGGGTTTAGGGTTTAGGGTTTAGGGTTTAGGGTTTAGGGTTTAGGGTTTCGGTTTAGGCTTATAAAGTACATCTTGACAAGAGGCGCCAACACGTTCCTGGCAAGTTCTTCGAAAACCCGATGAAACCCACACGCCTCGTATCATCCCGAACCCCCTCTCGAAGCCCATCTTCCAAGGCCGGAACTCAAACCCTCAAGGGTCCCCGAATGCTTCTGGGCTCAAGCTGCCAAAGTCAAAAGGCCTTCGGAGCCCCTCAGAAAACCTCACAAAATGGCGACGCCGACCTCAGCAGATGTCCTCGTCATCGGCGCTGGCCTGGCAGGGCTTTCGGCGGCGAGGCGCCAAAATGGGGCGGTGGCGGATAGGGTTTAGGGTTTAGGGTTTAGGGTTTGGGGTTTAGGGTTTAGAGTTCAGGGTTCAGGGTTTGGGGTTTAGGGTTTAGGGTTTAGGGTTTAGGGTTTAGGGTTTAGTGCTGATAGAGTTTCGAGTGGAGGGCGTTTTGCTGTGTTTAAAGAGGGAGGGTCTGAACACTTTGCAGAGCTTGATGGGGTTGACACGATGTTTATTGGGTTGCGCAGCCTTCTCCTCTTGGGCTGCTTGCAAGGACTCAAGTGGGAAGATTTGGAACTTCACGGATATCGCAGCTATGCTGGACTCTTCGTTTCTAGCTGTATCTGCTTTAGGGCCTAAGCAGTACTGCGCGGCAGAACTGTATTATAGTAGCGACGGTAAGAACATCCAGCTGTTTGCGTGGGAAGAGGAGCATGAAGCAATCGTAGTAGTACTAATCGGAGGAGCAGTAGCAATCAATGGTAACAACATCGTGACACTAACACAAATAGCAATCGACGCATGCCTGGAGGTTCAGGGCACTTCTTAACCAGTCAAAGCTGTACTTATAGCCCACTCATAAGCCCCTTAAGTGCCCCCCAATATGGCTAGAATTTGTGTTATAAGTACAGTTATAATCGGTGAATAAGTGCCATGAACCTTCAAGTGGGAGTCGGAACCTGAGCCGTTGAAAGCTCCGCCTCCGACTCTGGAATGTGCTGGCCAAGACCTGACAGACCTCGCGCCCGAAAGCCCCACAACACGCCCCAACTCGCAAACCCACCCCAAACCCTAAACCCTAAACCCTCAACCCTAAACCCTCAACCCTAAACCCTCAACCCTCAACCCGCAACCCGCAACCCTAAACCCTCAACCCCAAACCCACAC